AAAGAACGTCGTTTGAGCTGGAAAAAAAGAAAAATAATCACCTACATAGATCAGTATTTGTATGGTGGTTGAACCAACCGTTTGACAGCAGTAGGTTCGCTATTTTATCCCCTTTTATATTTTCCACTTACATTTCCTTCGTGCATGTGAGCAATTTGTTTCTTCTTGTTAAGTATACAGAAGATATAACATTCGGACTGTCTTACACCAACCCATCATTTGAAACCCCTCTACAAAATGACATGTCAGAAATAGTGGAGTGGTCTCAACAAAGGAACCTCCGTATGAACCCCCCCCCCCNCAAATGTAATGACGTAACTTTTTTCTCTTTTGAAAGGTGAAAAGTGTGATGAGCTGTCAAATGCCAGCCCGCATTTATCTTCACTGACCAGATGGATCGACCACCGTCTGTCAAATACCTTGGCGTTATTTTCAACAGTAACCTAACCTGGTATGACCACGTCAATAAAGTTTTTCTGGAGGTTGGGAGGCTCACGTTTCACGTCTTAAATAACTTTCTAGCCCAAAATAATTTAATACGGCGTTTTATTTTTGCTCTCGCTTTGCCCCGCTAGATTAATGGGTACCCTGTTATCTTCCCCCGTTTTATTAACAAGTACTTTAAACTCATATCCCGATTGCTCAGTTTTCTGTCTGTATGTAGTCTTACACCACTGGAACATGTGGTGGAACGTGACCTCAAGTCCGGTAGAAAATTCTCCCAAAAGATTTTATCTGATATTAACAATCCCCTTTATTGAAGATTCCCATTGTAACATTTGAGAACAAAACACGAAATAGCGAACAAGCTCGTTTCCGATAACTTCCTCATCCGGCTAATACAGTTATATAAATAGGTACAAGGCAGATCACATTTGCATAACGTTTGACCTGTGTGTGTGGATTGGATTGGTAGATATAATTTGTTGTGTTTGTGTGGTTTACAAACAAAAAATGGAGTAGTGGGTGGATGGGAAAGGGACGTGTCACAAGAGGGATTAGGACGGATTAGGCATAGAACGAAATGAATACCCAAACAACTTCTGGAAGTCTCTTAGGCGTTCAAGAATCAGACCGGACTCCACCACATTGAAACGTTATACGAGAAGCCAAATGGACACCATACGAGCGGGAATCCTTGAGTTGGAACGATATAGTGCACAAAGGAGACATGTTATTGATCTACTTGACGGGAACGAACAGATCAGTTTTAAACAGTTTGTGAACGAAGTGGTTATGAAACGGGTCGTTAAGAAGCTTGCCAAACTCCGGGATACCTTGAGCGATATGAAACCACGGGCAACTCTACCAACTGAACCTGAACGGTATGTCCACAATTTTTCGCGTATATCAGTAAACAGGGATCTTGCTGAAGCTTTATTGTTAGGATTAGATTTCTGCTCTCCGAAGCGTAAGGATGATCAACTGGAAATAGAGGTTCAGCTTGAAAATTTGCATTCGCAAACAAGTACCTTGTCGGCTGTGTCAAAGGAATCAACAGACGCTCTGAAGGCAACATTACAACGAAATCGATCGTCAGACCGAAGTAGTAGCGATGGGTTCTCCACTAGGACCCCAACGGCTGATATCTTCATGGCCAAGCTGGAAAACAATGGGCCCAGAACAACCATAGATAGTCTACCTTTTTATTGTCGTTATGCAGATGACATCTTCTTCTTGACACACGAGAAAATCTCGTTGGAAATGCTATTGAGAAAATTCAATGAGGCGCACGCAGCTATTACCTTTACATCAGAAGTGGAATCAGGAGATACCTTCCATTTTCTTGATGTGAATCTCAAACGACGTAGTGATGGTTATCTGAACAGAAGTGTTTATCGCAAGCCAACATGGACTGGGCAATATATCCACTTCGCTAGTTTCGTACCACTGAAACGGAACCTTGTCCGTTCCCTCGCAGCCCGTGCAAGATATGTTTGCTCCGAAGAAAGTTTACCACAAGAATTGGAGAATATAAAACTAACACTTGTATCCAATGGTTACCCGGAACGGTTCATTCAGAAAAATCCATCTGAGACACCCAAGGGACCTCCTATAACAACAGTGAATAAGAAAGACTTATACATGCGACTCCCTTATAAAGAGGAGCACAAAAGTGAGCTAATCATCCGACGCTTGGAAAGAGCATTCGCACGCACATTTCCCGCAGCACGTTTACGCCTTCAGTTCACCAGTCGACTAATTATTTCCATGAATCTCAAAGATAAACGGCCTATTTCTACCTTTTCTATGATTACCTACTCATTTGTTTGCTCATGTTTGGCAAGCTACATAGCTAGAACCATCAGACAGTTCTCCCAGAGAATCAAGGAACATAAACCAGCCTGGTTGTCTACTGGAGAAAGAAAAACCATGACTAGTACCATTGTCGAACACCTCGCCAATATGGGACATAATGTGAATGAAGACGCTTTCAAGGTGATCTACCGAGTGCCTCCATATCCACCTAAGGCTGTTCGCCAACAACATCTAGCAACAGCCGAGGCAGTAGCCATCCGTCTGTTTAACCCATCGCTTTGTTCCTCAAAACGATTCGTTAAAGAACTTCAACTGCCGTGGCCACAGAGTGAATTCAGTTGCATGGCTGGAGTTGACTCTTTCCATGACCCGTTGACCTTTGCGATTGACGTCGTACCCGAAACCGGTGGTGGTTAACCCTGACTCGGTCCTAATCCCTCTTGTGATACGTCCCTTTCCTATCCACCCAACACTCCATTTTTTGTTTGTAAACCACACATAAACAACAAATTATATCTACCAATCCAATCCACACGCACACACATAGGTCAAACGTTATGCAAATGGGATATTTAACTGTATTTGCCGGATGAGGAAGTTATCGAAAACGAGCTTGTTCGCCATTTCGTGTTTTAATCCCCTTTATCTTGCTCTTAGGTTTTCTTATTCATCCACCCGTTCCAGTCATAAACTGATAAATGCACCCACCAAAGCTTACAGGCGCTCTGTTGTATCGTATCTCACCAGATTTCTTACAAACCGTGGACTCGTTGCAGAAAATCTATTCAAAATGCTAAACTAAACCAACAATAAACACCCTGGTATGCCATTGACTTTTTGATGTTGTTATCCGTTTCACTTCTTGAATTTGCTGTATTATATTTAGCATTTTTTAGTTGGTGACACAATGTGGTCGTATGGTTGCCGAATATCCACCCTCCGAGTCGTATACAATGATTCCGTGACTTGAATTGACAGGTTATCAGTAGCTATTTAGCCGATTCACATCGGTCTACGCCTAAGACTAAGCGCATAAAACTATGAAAGATCTGCGATCGAGGCACGAGGCTCCGCTTGCTTCTGAATCATGGAAAAAGTGCATCGAAATGAAAGCAATCATTACTATCGATTGTGTGGGTGTGCGGCGTGTATAGCACGTGTTACAACCGGTATCACAAATACAACTGAGTGAGACGAAATCAGAACCATGGATGATAACAGACCACCCTAGTGACGATCAAATAATGTGGATCAGGAGGCAAGCCAATTAAACTTCTGAGTGGAACTATTTGATATCCTAAGGTGAGAAATATATATTTTTCACAGTCATATACCGCTACTACTACTACTTCTACTAGTGTGTTGTGCGTGTGCAAATGAGAGATTGTCTTCAACGGTCTTTTCTACGTCGGGGTTCTGTCATTGTATTGGGTACCATTCTTTCTGCTGGGAAGTAGTGGTTAGCAACTTGCAAAGAAAATGAAACCGCTTACTCTTGCGTCAAACTTAAACGAATACCGCACGGTTCCGTAAGCCAACGGGCAACCATGGTTCCCCAGCACGATAACATCTCTATACACGCCATTCATCTCAGTGAAATACAGCTATTTAAAACACCACTACTAATATAGACCTTGGGCAATCGACCAAGTTCAAAGAGTAAATGATACGATAAACGCCGGTCCTCACTGGAGTGGAGTTTTTGCACACTGCTCCGGTACCTTGTAGGTCAGGCTTTGGCTAGCCGATAAATTCTCCAAAAATATTCATTGGCTCTGACCTGGAAAACCCAGCATTGTCGAGCCCAAGAGCAAATGATGGATTTTGTTTTGCAGATTATTGCACCGTGATTTGTTTGGCACATAGTATGAACTTAAACATCCATGAAATATTTAATATAACTGCAAAAGAACAGGGTGGAGTTGACAGCATTTCGCGCTCTATACCATTCGTTTTGACAATATCTTGTTGCTCCACGACATTTTTTCAGCATATCATTGTCACTCATTCACGTGTTCCAAAGAGCTTCAATCCAATTCAGAATGTTTCCGACCGAGTCGAACCCTCTCGGTGCTAACACAACTGGTGCCAAGTTTGTACAGATGGGTTGTGCCAAATGTGTGTGGAGAGACTGAAACAATCTAATTTGCTATCTGGTGGTTATGAACGCACGGTATGCATGCGTTCTGTCTGTGAGGTCCAGCATTCGGGGTCTCAGTTGCATGACTGATCTCATGCTTCTGTGTCACGGAGCATCCCAGCCTACCGGTTCATGTCTCTTTTGTTATACCCACAATGAACGTTATTTCATAATCTGTGATTGTGTGAGCGTGAATCTAAACTGCTTGATTCTGTTTGTCTCTCATTTGAACGATTTCCCGATACTGAATGGGCTTTCGCACAACGAATAGTCGAAGTTAGGTCATTGTCAAAGCAAACCTAGACAAAAGTAAACAAAACGGATTCGGTACAAACGTGGGGTTCATAAGAATTAAATAAGTTAACTAACAAAACAATCATAACTCAGCACTGCAATCACGGATGCCAGCAAATTTAACGGAAGGTGAGTCAGAGACCTGGGGGGAGCAGATAAATGACAAGATGTCACGTGATCGAAGACCGTTTACGAAGCTACCGGGTGAAAGACAAGTCAACGCAAATTGGGCGAACATTAAACAGGGTTGTTGCAGTAGATCAGAACAAAACCATCAACCCGAGGCCAATATCATTTCTGTGTTCAAGAGACAATAGACACGAACTCTACTATAGTGCCGGATGGGATGGGATTGGTTTATGAGCGGAGCATAGACCATGCGCGAACATCGAAATTGAGTCACACAGAAGTGGGTGAGGGTGAGCGTCAAAAACCGCTATGATCAAGGGTGAGGTGTGACTGCTTAGTATTGCATATGCAAATGAAATGAACCAGATCCCAGTTAGACCGTGATAATATCATAACATCGGTATCCCGGGGATACTATAGCATTATTTCGGGCTGAATGCTGAGAGAATTAGGTACAGTAAATGCTTAAAATATGACCTTCTCCAACGGTACGTTGCTGAGTCCCGACGAACAACAATACCTGATAAAAATTGGAGGCCTTTTGAATCTGTATCGAAAATTTGATCACAGCAATTAGATCAGTGAACATAAGATCGTTCGCTAGATTCTTATTCCACTTATTTTCATCTCCATATCGTGCGATAGCAATAAGGACACGCAGTTATTTCTACATGGGGCAGGGAAAAGATTTCGTTATATAAAGCTAAACTCAAAGGAGAATACCATTTGGACTCATGTGGTGTAAAGCAGTACGAGGCTACTTGAATGAAATCGGATTTCACATTCCATTACGTAAATTATTGACAACATGTTAACTCATATCTAAACGGAATAACTTGCTTATTGATGAACGTGGCCTTATCGGTCTCCCCTCTGGTAATGTGCCCAGTTGTAGCAATCTTTTACTTCTCCAGTCGGTTCGTCACTGGCATCTGTGTGTCTCAGACCGAACCCTAATCTTTTGCAACAAAAGTATATGAAATAAGGAAAACCGTAAAACAATTGAGACAAAAATATAATCTAACAAATTTTTTCAGGTATTCGCAAGCATGCCCTTCCTCGGGTTGCAAGTGAAGCTAAAAACCTAGGATTTGGAAGCATAACATAAGATTACGGGGAACAGATGACTTTGAATGAGTGGGTTATGAGTTCTAACGTGCCGGGGTTTTTAATCGTCACATTGAACGGGTGACCCAGTTCAGTGGGGTTGTTTAGTAGTGCGCGTTTGTGTGCACAGTGTGTAGTGTCTTGAAATCAGACGACTTGAACAGCTTAGACTGAGACTTTCTAGGCATACGGTTTTTGGCTGAACTGTCTGATACATCTAGATCGGTTCAGGGGGAAGCAATGGATGATCTTTGAACAGTGTCTACCCAATGAGCGAGAACTATTCTTGAGGCTGATTCGAGACCACCTTGATTCGACCACTGCTAGTGGAGTTCTTTTGTGTGAGAATATTACTGTCGTGCATTGGGACTGACGTAGGACGCATAAAAAACGTATCTGGACAAGCTAGTAGTCACCAAAGTGGTCAGCATTAGTTTATCCATTTATCTTTATTCATTGTGGTTGTTATTGGTGAGCCGTTGAAAGATCATCGTAGGCGCTCAGTGCTGAGCATGGCTTTTACCACTCCATTCAGTTGTCTTATGGAGGTTTCGGCGGCAATCTTGGTCATGAAAGGAAAATTACTGAACCCACTTCTGTCTCTGTATACCGTTGGTACTTGTTCCATCGTGTTTCGTTGAATGAAACAGTCTGGGTTCCCATTGCTTATGAGAAGGTGGGAGATAAAAAAATATTAATTCATATTGCAACACCTTTTGTGAGTTGGTTCTTCAAACCTAATACAAGACACTTTCTGGTTTCTCTTTAGTTTATTCGGCACAAATATGTGAAAACCTATGCATTGATCACACCAAGTTCTATGACGGTACACAGCAATTTGTTTAGAGTCCTCATGTCTTCTGTTTGGCTGTAAGTCTACAAAAGGCTTTCGTTCATCCCCATCTACTTTCTTTGTAAATTTGATGACGAAAACCGTGGATTTGACCCTATCTAGTGATTTGCCCAGTTCGCAGTTAGAAACAATTATTGACAGTATGCCACATGTAATTCGACAATATTTATGTGGACTATCAGTACCACCTTTCCAATTATTGTTCTCTGGCGTCAACATAAAGAAATTCGTGAGAAGCTCTCCTATTGATGAGCTCATTCGTTCTATTTTTCATAGATTGCCCCGTTGAAACAAGCTACATATTGTTTGTGTACCGAAGCAATAGTTTTCGTGGCCCTTTGTGTGAGTACTGGTGTTGCTATCGTTCAGTTACTGCATAATATTTGAACCAGCAGTATATTTTTGAAAGTAATTTCATCTTTCCTGTAACGTTACGGACTCTGACGTCAGTGCCCTTTGGCTACAGTGACGCGAGCTCTCAAGTCGTCCTCTTCAATCAGCACTCCGCACAGTTTGGCGATGGTATCCTGGTGATCAACAACAGACATGAATTAACATTATCAAGTCCGACGTGGAGCTCTTTGACATTCAATATATTTGCGACTGGGGCAACTGAAACAGTATCTGAATAAGAGTGTGTACTGATCCGGTCGATGATGGTCACGCTTGGTATTGAATTTGTTCATAAGTAAATGAAATGCGATGCGTCACTCTGCTACCCATGTATTTACAAATTATCTGGCATGTGAAATCTCATTTGGATTCCAGTATTCCAGTCTAAACAATGGTAGCTATTTGAAGCAACTTGTGATTTCAAGATAAAACTGGAAAAACGAATCTGACTTCATGATAAATATGCGTTAAAATTTCACTTAAAGTAATTGATTTCTTTTC